GGAGCTCATACCGGACGAGCGGAGTCCCTAAATAAGAAGGGAGGATGTGCGTCACGGCGGAACTCGACCACGAATCAGTCGTGAAAACTCGTAATTATTTTGTGAAAAAATATCACTTCAGCCAGGAATCGAACCTGGATCTCCTGCTTATTGGGCAGGCATCCCTTCAACTACCGAGGCATGTGATGATATTTATTGCAAATAACGTTTAGAATAACACGTCAACAATACAATGATACACATATATACGTATATTATAATATACATATATACATGTATTCTCTCGAATCTCTACGACTAGTACTCCAGAGAGATGATGACCCGTTTCCACGTCTGCGGGAGGACGTTCGAATTGCACGACGTTCGCGTGCGCGATCATTGTCACCTTACCGGACGTTACAGACGTCCTGGGCATGCGAGCTGCAATTTGAACTATCAGAATGCGTTCATTATTCCCGTATTCTTTCACAATCTATCGGATTACGACACGCATTTTATTATCAGAGATGTAGCGAACGCTTTCAGGGATAGAGTCGACTTGTTATCGCTGATTAAGGAGAATTACATTGCGTTTTCAAAAACCGTCACCGATTTCGGCGAATGGAAAAACTGCGTAAGCTATGTTTCGTAGATTCATTTAAGTTTCTCAGTGCCAATCTCGAGAAATTAGCTTCGTATCTAGATCAAAATTGAGGATCGCGCGATTCGAATTCTCCGGTCTCGTCGCAGAGAATTTCGAGTTGCTCACGCGCAAGGACATATTTCCGTACGAGTATGACAGCCAAGGAGACTGCGCTTTGGAGTATCCATTACTGGTATCTTCATGATGGAAAAACTGCGCGGACTTTCCGTTCTGTCCGACGCGTGAGAAACTCCCGGGAAAGCAGGATGAAAAGCTACTTGTCACGCTCTACAAGTCGCTCTTACGTGACGCACTATCGCAACATATCTTCAACAGTACATTCGACACGGTTTACGGGTGACGAGGATCGCGCGTTGCAATTCGCACAGTCTCTTTGGTTGCGTGCGTATATCGAACTTAATACGGAACGAAGAACTCGCACGAGTAACGAGTTCGAGAGGAATCTGTACAAGCTGAACAACGCGGTTTTTGATAAGACTATGGAGAATGTGTGCGATCACGTAGACGTGAGACTCGTGACACGTTGGGAGATAGGCGCGGAAGCGATGATCGCAAAACCGAACTTTCACAGCAAGAGCGTCTTCGACGAAAATCTCACGGCTGTCGAGTTGCGCAAATTAGAAGTTAAGTTCAACAAACCGATCTACGTCATTATGTGCATTCTAGAGATATCCAAGACGCGTTTGTACGAATTTCATTACGATTACATAATACTGTTGTATCGCACTAAATGTTATTACACGGATAAAACACGGACAAAACTATGTTATTACACGGATACCGATAGCTTGATTATATCTTCTGGAATGCGAGAACGTTTACGAAAATATGAAGCGAGATATCGCGAGATTCGACACCAGCGACTACCCCGACGACAACGCGTACGATATGCCGCGCGCGAACAAGAAGGTCCTCGGTTTGATGAAGGATGAGAATAACAGCAATCATGACGGAGTTTATAGGATTCAGGGCGAAGATGTATGCTCCGAAAGTTATGGGGAAGAGCGATATGAAGAAAATAAAGGGCGTCAAGAGGAGCATCGTCGCGAAAACGTTCGAGGATTTCGCGCAGTGCTTGAACGAATTGTCGCAGCAATTGAGACATCAGGCGTGTATACGCTCAATGCTGCACGAAGTCTACACCGAACTGAAACTAGCCTTGAGTCCGTACAACGATAAGCGATACGTGATCCCCGATTCCACCGATACTTTACTGTATCATTATAAGATACCGCTGTTAAGTAATTTTATCAATGTAGTATGAGTAATATTTTCACGTAAAATATTCTTTGTGCTTTTTTATTCATTACATTATAATACAGCTGTCTTACGTGTTTTTATATTACAATACAGCCGTTTTATCCAAGAGTTATGTGCATTGTCGATTCCTAACTACTTGACAAAAACCCTATCGTCCTTTCTACATAGCACTTTTTTCACGAGATAGATATCCGGATTGGAAACTCGTAGTAACTAGTGTTTGTAGAATCCTCCAACTACTGGCTCTCCGCGATAATCTTTCAACAGATACGTCAGGATTCATGCATTGCACCTTAGCGATTCGGGAAACATCGGTCGTTCAGTTAGGTGTATATCCTTTCTCGAATATCGTTTTGAATTTGTTGACGCGTATCATTCACCTTGAACCTCGCGGGAGCTGCGATCTTCAAGTGACTGTATACCGTGGAGAGGAGTCTCTAACGGTGGGAGTTATGTTCGCCGGTCGCGTTCCGATGCACGCGGTTGTTATACTCCAAGATTAAACGCGGTAAAGCGTCGAACCATTTGTACGATCCGTTGAGCGTGAAAAACCTCTACATGTCGTTCTTGAGCGTGTAATTAAACCGCTCCACTACCGTTGCCTTCATCACCGAGTATGTCGAGTAGTGACGTATATTGTACCTGTAATTGCTTTTACGACGGCGTTGTAGAACTCCTTGCCCTTGTCCGTTTGTAGATTTCACGAATGTCGAGCATCATCGCGAAATAGACAATGCCGCGGCTATCTCGCTTCTGCTCTTGCTCTTCAGCGGTCCACGCGTCCGTCCACGCGTACTTGCTCAACACGTCGATAACCGTCATCACGTAGTTGTAACCTTTGTTTTGTTGCGCGTACGGACGCATCTCGATCACATCAATCTGCAACAGGTCATTATAACCACGCACCGCGACGCGACGACGCGGAAAGTTCCTTCGCGTGGGCGCGTGAAGGTCTCCGACAAGTCTCCTCTTCTTGATGCTCATCATCGATTTACGCGGAGGCGCTAGTTTTATTCGTACTTGTTGTATCGCGCATTCGCTCTTGTTCCTCGTTCCAAATGTTAATCGCGTGTTTCATGGTATTCAGGGTATTCGTTTTTAGCACGACTAGTAACTCATCTATCGTTTCCCTAATCATCATTTTATCCACTTCAATGAGACGTTTTGTTCAACGTCTCTCTCGTTACTGCTTTGTCAGTATACTACACCGATATATTACACCGATTCTAACTCAGGAGCTCCAAGGGGGGTGCCGGTGTGCGGGGGGAACGGAAGGCGCGGGGAAGAGGGGAGGGGGAAGTCAGGGACGGCGGTCCTTTGAACCGTGGGAGGATAAGATACTAGGATTCGGTAAAGAAGTAGATAAACAAGTAGATAATAAAAGTTATATTAAACAAATAGAAAATCTCTAAGAACATGACGTCATGGAGGGGGGAGGGTGAAGACAATATAAATAGATAAACAAATAGACAAACAAAAAAAGATAAACAATAAAATAAATAACGAAGATGATATAAAGAAATTGGACAGAGCGCGTGGACATGACATCGGAAGGAGACCGCCGCCGCCGCCGAGTAAAAAAATAAAAAGGAAAAAAATACAAAAAAAGACTCACCAGTTGAGGATAGAAGAGTAATCCAAAAAAGAAATGGCATCATCCCGGCAATAATGTCAATAATCCAAGACAATGTCACTCAAAATACACGCACACAAAAGAAATGTCAACAATCCAAGAAAATGTTACTTAATTAAATACAAAAGAAAAAAATAATTTTTATACCCCCCTCTGGATTATCCGCGGGAGGGGAATTTCATCCACATCCCGCGGATTAACCCGCGGGGAGAGGGACTTTATCTACATCCTCGAAATTATCCACTGGAATTTCTGGATCTTCTGGATAATTTTCCTCCTCCTCATTCTCCGTCTTTTTTTTTTTTTTTATCGTTGGG